GGAGGGGAAAAAAGTTATCCCCTTTAAAAATTGATTTTCTCATCAGGATGTACACCAAAAAATTTGTTCTTTTCATAATATCTTTAAATATTGTTGAAATATTGCCATCTTTAAATATTAAAACAACTCGTGCTTGCTTCAAATGCTAAACACTTAAATGGAAGATTACAAATAAAAAAAGGGTTTACTCAACAATATTAAAAGTTTTTTAACAACCTTTTATAAATTATTATTAATTTATTTTTAATATTTTAATATTAAGATTTGAGTTTTTGTTTGACTTTATCAAAATAAAAACTTAGTCAGGAGATACCTCAATAGGGTGTGTCCATTTTTTTATTTTAAAAAAAGGGAATAAAACTTTTAGAATAGAATTATATGGGGAATCCAAATCTATAAGAAAAAATTTTAAAATGATGTCTTACTGTTCTGATTAGTATTGTTTTCAACAAAAAATTATAGTTAGATAAGATTGTCTTTATCTGCAACAGAAGCATCTAGCACAACCAATAAACTTTAAAGATCGTTTTACTCATGCAAAACCATTTTTATTCGAAATGAATATTTTTAACATATAGGGGAAAGTTGCATAAGTTTAGCACGTTTTCAGTGAAATGTATTTTCCCCCAAAAGATTACAAAAAGATATATATTTTTTAAAGAATATTGATGATTTAATTTACCAAATAGTTTGAAAAAAAATTTGATTTTTCACAAAATTAGAATTTTTCAACAAAATAAACTGAAAAAAATTAATTTCTCAATAGATAATCTATTCGAGTTCTTCTGATCTCATTTCTCCTTTATAAGTGTTATCCAAAGAACACAGAAACTAAAAAAGGTTCGTAAGATTTTGCCACCGAGAACCGTTTAACAATACAATAATAATAAACCAATTGTTTCAAAAAAATATAATATGAGAATTATACCATTAATTACCCATGTAATTTAAAATATTTTTTGTTTTTTTTAATTTTTTGGCCTTTTAATGGTTTTTTATAATTGAGATATACGGTATATACTTCTCATTTTATATTTTTTTGAAACAATTGGTTTATTATTATTGCATTGTTAAATGGTTCTCGGTGAGAAAATCTTACGATCCTTTTCTAGTTTTTGTGTTCTTATATATTATGTACAACAATATTTTACCAAAAAATATTGTTAAAAAAACGAAAAGAAAAAAGAAAAAAAGAAAAGAAAACGAAGAGACTAATTTGTATCAAAAAATAACAATTTAAAAAACAAATTTCATAAAATATTTGATTATATTTTTTATGATGAGTTTTATGAAAGCTTTATAAAAGTACTTGTTTTAAAAAGTAATATTGAGATTTATTTGGCTTTAAAAGTAAGCAGAAATTCATTTTTGTAAAAGCGTAATGAAAACTCCGTATCTGTTAATTAAGATCTCTGAAAATATCTTAATAGGATTATCTACCTTTTTAGAGAGAAAAAATGACTTGACTATAATATGAAAGTATGTTAATGTCTAATGACTAAAATATAAAACAAACAACTACTAAAATACTTTATTAAAACTAGAGATGTGCCGGAACCAGTTAATGCCGAGTCTCCGATTGCGGGCACCCGGCTGAAAAAACAGGTGCCGAGTCCGAGTACTCGGCACCGAGTCCATTTTTAAAAAGTTGGAATAAAATTCACACAAAATACGCTTTTTACGCTAACTAACCAAAAGTTATGTGGCGGAAGTACCATTTAGCAAAACCCCGCAATGCAGGGTAAGGGGCCTGAGTTGTAGAGCCTAACTTTTTTCAAAAGTTGCGCAACAGTTTTTTAATATCTATATTTATTATAAAATTATTTTTTTAGCTGGTGGAGCGGGCCTAAATAATATTTTGTTATAATTATTATCGAAATTAAAATATGAAAAATGTGTATAATATTTACCTAATATCTCTACTTTTATGATTTTTGCTTGATACGAATGAAAAGTGGTATCAGCGTTCGAAAGCATTATAAGCGTTTCATTCAAAACTTAATTGCTAAAAATTATCTTGTGTTCTAATAGAATAAAAAGAAGCTATTCTAAAACTTTTTTTCTCATTTTTTTTATTCGTATTCTCGAATTATTTCATTTAGCGTTTCAGTTTTTGTATCCATATAAATTTTTTTGCAAAAATGTATTAAAAATTATTTTAAGTGAGATTGTTTTAAGTTAATAGAACTTTGTGGTTATCGACTACATAACATTCTTAGATTTATATCAAAAAGTTTAATGGTTAAAGTTTAAATTTAAAGAAAAATCAAATGAAGATACCCGGTGCCGGGTACTGCAACAAAATCGCCGATACCGGGTACCCGGTAAAACAGCCGAATTGCCGGGTCCCCGGGTCCGAACCGGGTACCCGGCACATCACTAATTAAAACATATATATAATTAACATATAAAAAAGGTTCGTGAACTTAATCTCAGATGTCGAGGTCCATCCAAGAATGCTTCATATTTATTTGAAACAAGCAAGAATAATTTATAATTTTTTTTTTGTTAGAAAATGTAAAGAAATCCACAATCTTAAGAAACGATTATAAAAAACGTTTGTATTAATTTGTCACCAAAAAATCAATTCAGTTAAATGACATCCATTCAATTAAATTATAGGCAACTTCTCTTCTTTAGACGACTTTTTTAGGGTAAAGTGAACAAAAATCTACCACCTGGTTTTATGCATACAGTGTAATGTTTGTCTTTAATAGATCCAGGGAAAAAATCTACTTAGCCTACTTCTTTCATCTTTACTTATTTCATATTTTGTCAAAATAAACACAATAATGGATCCCTTTTTGTATAGATTTAAAGTCTCTTTCATTAATGGTACTATTTGTATTTTTTTGCTTTTTTTTTTTAGTTATTGTTTAACTGAAACAGCTAAATCATAACAGTTTACACAACGCCATTTAAAAAAATGTGTTATTTATGGATTAATTTAATTTGTTTTAAATTTTTAGATATAAATAAATTAGAATTTGCTCAATACTTGTAGTGCTAGTCAAGATAACTATTAAAGCGTAAAAAAATAATCTGAAAGAGAACTTGCAATTCTTAGCTATATAAAAATAATCTGAAAGAGAATTTGCTATTCTTAGCTATATACAGAGTTTTTAGTCCTTGGCCTTGGTCTTAGCCGTTGCCTGGCCTTAAGGCTAAAAATTTAAGCCTTGGTCTTGAAACTGTTGGCCTTGGCCTTGGTCTTGAAATTTTTAATTGTTTTGGCCTTAGCCTTAAAAGAAATATATGTTTTTTTATTAATTTTGTTGAATTCTGTACATAACCCCGGTCTATTTTTACAAAATGTGGTTTTATTTTCACATTACTTACTACTTACAGTTTTGGTGGCAAAAAGTTACAAGGCCTTGGCCTTGTAACTTTTTGCCTTGGTCTTGGCCTTGGTCTTGACATTGGTCTTGTAACTTGTGGTCTTGGCCTTGGTCTTGCTACTTTTGGCCTTGTTAACAACTCTGGTATATAAATTTCAAAGTGTTATTGTTATGTTTGTATACATGCATATTTTTTTTTACAATGTCAACATTTTGATTTTTTTTTTTAAATTGGTAATTTTTTTTTGTTGTTATTTTGTTGATTCACCTCCCTGAACCAAAAAGGCTACTGCAGACAAGTAATCTAATTATTTGTCGTTATAACCCTCTCTCAACTACATAACTCTGAAATACGAACCTTGCCAAACATGGGCACTGCGCAGAGAAACAAGTTAAACACAGTACTACCAGGGATGTGGTTAGGATCGAACTTGGAACCATTCGTTTTTGAGCCAGTGCTCTACCACTACACCGCTACACCATTATAATACTACTGCATTTTGGGTCCCAAATAACTTTTTTACCAAAGTCTGGGCTCATTGCTACGCTGCTGTACTACGGACAATGGATTTCTGAATTTGCTGAGAAATAGAATTATATTTCTTGTTACAAGAAATAAAATTACTACCTTGCAATATATTTCTTAAAATAAGAATTGTATTTTTTGAGCAGCCGTGGCGCAGTGACAGCGCACTTTTTTCAGAAACAAAGGATTTGTGGTTAAAACTGCCGTTCTGGACAGATTTCGCAAAATTGTTTGGAAGGAAAAGTGAGCTTTAAATTAAATACTCATCCGCGATGCTCTATGACCGTACGAGGTGCTGATAGAATTTAAAAAAAATTTCCTCTTTTGTAAAAATTTGTCATTTCTATTTTGTTCATTTTTATTTGTCATATCTTATTCTTTTTTTCTCTATTAAAGCGCGGATCCTCCTTACAAAACATTTTATATAAATTTTTTATTTATTTATTTTTTGGTGATTTTTTAGTTTTTTTTACAAAAAAGAAATCCCCTTATTTTTATAATTTGATAAAAACAATATAAAACAATCAACATACGGTAAAATTCTTTGTCTAAAATAATAAAAAGCTGCTTAGCTTTTCTAAATACAAACTTTACATAAACTCACTTTATATGGTCACATTATATGGAAACTCATTTCCTTTATAACCTTTTATATGGTAACCTCTTTGTCTAAAATAATAAAAAAATGGTAACCTCTATAAAAAAATGGTAACCTCTATAAAAAAATGGTAACCTCTATATGGTAATGGTAACCTCTATAACCTAATATGAAATTAATGGTCGTGAGAATAAATATTTAGTTTATTAAAGGTTTTGAAATTCAAAAACTGAAGTCGAAAGATATATCAACACGCGCTACTAATTTTATTTGCTGAAGTGGAAAGATTTATCAACACGCGCTTCTAATTTTATTTGTGTTATCAGGATTGTAGTAAATCATTTACAAAACTTTTAAAAAACTGTCACGTGATATTTCATAACTTTTAATCAACGTATCATACTACAATCTAATGTAAATTAAAATAAACTCATCAGATTTTTACCATTTAAGGCAAAAATATCATATTGCATAATGAACTTTTTGCCTTTAATAGTAAAATTTCTGTTATATAGAAATGTAAACAATCTTTGTTTGA